CGCGCCCACGGTAAAGCCCCGGCGGCGCGGGAGGGGCGCCGCGCCTCGACCCTCTGCCCCCCCACCTTCCTCCTCCTCCTCCTCCTCCTCCTCTTCCTCTTCTCCCGCGCCCCTCCTCCGCAGCATCCCCCTCCCTCCCGCGCCGCAGCCTTGGGCTCCCCCCGGGCGGAGGGGCGGGCGCGCTCCCTCGGCGGTGCACCGCTGCCCGGGACCTCCGGGCGGAACTTCGCTTCCGAAGGGGCCGGGGGAGCCTGCGGCACCCGCCGCCTCCCCGGCAACTTTTCCTCCCTCCGCGCAGCTCCCGGCCCCGCCGCCGCCCCGGCCGCGCTCCGCAGCCTCCCCTCCGGCCCTTCCTCCCCGCGCCCGGCCCCGGCCCCGGCCCCGGCCCGCGCCTCCCCTCCGGCGCTCCCCGCCGCGCATTCGCCCGGTGCGCTGCCCTCCCCGCGCGCCCGCTTCTCCGCCCGCCTCCGCGCGCCAGCCTGCCTGCCTCGCTGCCGGGGCGCTCTCCAGGGCAGGCCGGCTGCTCTCCGCGTCCCGCCCCGAGCCACTTACCCCGGGGAGGCTGCCCTGACCTCTCCATCTCTCCCTCATCCATCCATCCATCCTTCCTTCCTCCCTTCCTTCCTTCCTTCCATCCTTCCTTCCTTCCTCCTGCTGCATCGCACCGTTCCTTCCCACCCTCCTTTTCCCCTCCTCCTCCTCCTCCTCCTCCTCCTCCAAGCTCCCGCGCCTCCCCCTCTCCCACTGGGGCTCCGCTCACGCTCCTCTTCCAGCTCTGATTTCCCTCCATCCATCTCCTGCAAAACCGTCCCCTCCCAGCTGCGCGGCTACTGCCTCCCCCCTCCAGTCCCACCCCCGCCCAACAAGAACCACCCTTCCCAGCCACTTGGAAACAAACAGACCAGCCCAAGTACTCCTCCCGTGCCTGTCACCCCGTCACCTCGTGCTTGCGCCGGGGTGGAGGAGCAGGTGGCTGCGTCCTTGCCCGGATCCGCGCTGGAATCTGGAAGCGGGCGGCTTGACAGGCGCCTGGCTGGCCGGGGGGCTTTTCCCCCTCCGGGGCTGGGCTGGGCTGGGCTGGGCTCGCTTTCCCCCAGAGAACAGCACTTCATAAATCGGGGGGACCCCAAACTTTTCCAGAGGAAGCCCCTGGTTGGGGTTTGGGATTGTGTTGGCGAGAAGACGCCCCGCCACTCGCCCAGCCGAGCCCCCTAAAAGCCTGTTTTGATGTTCTCCATCCAGGAAGGTCTCCCCAGAGGTGGGCTGACCATGAAGGAAGAGCCTTTGACCAGCGGGCTGTCCGCAGTGAGGTCTTGGATGCAAAGCTCTGGCATTCTAGATGCCAACACCGCAGCGCAAAGGTAGGCAGCCCCCGCGAAGCCGTGCAAGTGCCGGTGCGCCTGATGAACAGCAGCACAAAACTTCCCCAAATTGACCCAAACTCCTTCCTTCCCGCAAAGGCGCGAGGCTTGCTTTTACCCCCCCCCCCCACCTTCCCTTCCCTTCCCTTCCCTTTTGATATTCCCAGGGATTTGGTGGGTTCGTGTGCTTGTGTCCAGGGCAAGTTGAGACAGAATGTTTTGGATAGGAAAGGTGCTCGTTATTTTGTTTTCTCCATTTTTTAAATTGCTCCAATGACTGGCGCAAATGATGGATTTATTATTCGATTCACAAAGCATATTGTTTGTTTGTCAGCCTGAACTTTAAAAAAGGAGATGTTTCAGAATCATTGCAAGCATTGCTATGGGTGTTATTTCTTCTGTTTGGGGAGGTGTAATGCTGCTGGCCTTTTGTCTGAGCCTGTTCAATCTCAGGGTAAAATATCAGTTCCAATATTAAGTAGGAGGCAGAAAACCAGAAGTAGCATCTCCCCCCTCCCCTTTGTTGTCTTTCTTAAAGTTGCATAGAGCCATTAGAACTCCCCTGAATATAACTGTTTTCAGATGTATCTTTAGCAGAATCAAAAACAGTTCAGGCTGGAAATGACAGGAGGCATCAGATAACATTTGTATGAATCTATATATATGAAGCTGGTGTTATATTTCTTGTTCTCAAGCTGTTGAAAAGTGTTTCTGAAATTAACACTTCTGGATGGAAAAGCGAAACAGTGTTGGAATAAGTCAGACCTGGTGTTGTAGATGTAGGGGAAATATTTCCCCTTCGTTTAATAACACCCACTCCTGCAGTTTTTCAACTTCCAAGTTCTTTACAAGAAGTTTCCTTAAAAAAACAGATATTGCTATTTTTAAAACTTGACAATTCCTCTCATGTTTTTCCTCCATGTGTGTTTCTCTTTGTTGCTGAATTTCTCCATATCACAAACTCATCTCTCTCTCTCTCTCTCTCTCTCTCTCTCTCGCCATTATTTCTGTCAGTCAATAAGATGGAATAGATGAATAATTTCTCCCAGGGCTTAAAGGGTATGGGAGTTTGCTCTTTTTGATTTAAATTGATTTGCGATCGATCTCAAATGTTCCCTGACCTTTGACATCCGATCTTGCTCGACATTTATTCGAGGCTGGTTAAATGAAGGAAAGAAGAATTAGGTTGCTTCGCTCCCCATGTAGGTGGATGGAACAGATGGGATTACGCGCACCCCCCACTTTTCCAGGACTTTGTTCACCTGAGATTCTGACTGAATGCATTGTTCGAGGCATCTGCCCATCCGGCACTTCCCCGCGTGGCACACTCCAGACTTTCCCATCTGTTGTAGTTGTGAGCTCACGCCTTCGGGTCCGTGCGAAGCTCACCCAACCCATTGTGTTGCGCCGTATCCTCCGTGCCCCTGCTTGGGGATCTCTAAGTGCAGGTGGGGCACTTATCAGCACCGCTGGAATCAGGGTGCCCCAAAGCTTTTCTCTGCCGGTGCAGTTTCGCCAGCCGCTGCATCGCCTGTGCAGTTCCTGCCACATCTTAGGCCCCGAAAGAAGGAGCGAGCAGCCTAAGAACAGGGCGCAGGCTTGGCCCGCGGGAGGGCAGGCACTGGGCGAGCCCCCTTGAAGGGTCTCCGGTGGTGGGAAGGATGCTTGCCAAGGGGCAGGCTTGCTCAGAATAGAGTATGTGAGCACGAACATTTGCACCCGTGTAAAGAGGCGCCATCCATGTCTGCTCCATGTCCCATCAGACCGAGTGGGGAGCAGAACTTCCAGGTGGATCACGCCTGGAGTACTTTATAATTCAGATCACATTTCAGCCTCCCAAGAAACATGTGCACTGGCGAAGCGGAGAGACGGTGACTTTGCCCGAGGCCACCCAGCCCGCTGACTGGGGATTTTAGCCTCCGCTTTCTCCTCTTTGAGTCCCAGCCTCTGGCCGTGCATCTCATTTGGATTTTGGTTCTGTCCCCTGAAGGAACCCAGCACCTTCCAAGCAGCTCAGCAAGGAAGTCTTTGGAGCAGTGCAGAATTATGTCCATGGATTGCCATGGGTCAGACCCAGTGAAAGATCTGTGCTTAGCACTGTTTGGATCAAGTTGCGGGTCGGTAGCTTTTTCCTAATGACTCAAGAAGATCAAATTATATGAGACGTAAGAACAGGCACGAACAGGCAAAACCGTCATCAAGTGCATGACTGTTTTTGCCTTCTTATCTTGGGCCCGTAACCATGATATTGCATTTCTCTATTCCTCCTCGGAGCTGTTCACCTCAGACTGTTAAATAAAACCAGAATGGCCAGTGGGGGAAAGAAAAGACCGATTGCTTTTTCTGTCTTCCTTGGTCTTGCTGGAGCCATCCAGGCTGAATTTGTTTAGGGAGGACCTGTACTTAGATTTAAAATATATATATATTCATTTTGCTTCATTCATTCACACGCACACATAAAATAAAAATTCCTGGGCAAGCAGAAAGGACAATAAACACTTTTAGCATAAATTATAATGCTAGGTTTATTGCGGTAGCCTCCGTGTTTAATGTAACCTGACCTGTTCTATCAGCTGTTTCTTTTTTGCATCTCAGTCAGTCCTGCTTTTCCTTCTGTCTCCTCACCCATTACCATCTTGAAGATGCTTTTTCAGGAGTAACTCATATTTAGCTTCGCGGCACTGAGTCCTAGACCAGCATGTGGGTTATAATTCAGTGCTTCCTCATGAAAATCTGGCTACTGAATCTAGCCTATTTCATCCTGCTCCACTGATTTTCTGGGTCTGTTCATCCATCACGCCGTTTTGCTCCTGGCTCCTGCTCTGTCTTATTCCAGCACAGTGGTACCAAACCCGGCAGGCCATGGCTGAGTTTTGTAGGATGTGCGCAAACAGTTCCCAGCCATCTCACAGTGTCAGAGCTGCAACGCAGGCAACAGAGCTGCTATCCGGCTGTGATATCACGGATCGCGCTTTCTCTTCGCATTCCCCCTGCCGCCTCTTAGCGTTGTCGAATCTGAATTCTGGTTCAGGAGCATTTGGGGAATCTGGCAGTCGTGCTGCCGTTTCAAGAGTTAACCACTCTGCCTTATGTACCCAGCTCTTCCCGAGTTCCCTTTGCCCAGGCTTTAATAAGGTTACGTGCATGTACAGCCAATAAAAGCAGCCGTCGGTTTGATCCACCAATAAATTAAGTCAATTGTATCCTAGCCCTAAACATATCGGCATGAGTAAGCCCCATTGATTTCAATAGCACTTTTGAGAAATGCATTTAGCAGTGTCATTTGTATAAATCAATGGGAATAAGGGCCGATGCACAGCAACCAGTACGGTACGCAGGGTTACTCTCTCTTTTTTAAAGCCCTGATTGCATTTGCACATGTGTTGAATTGTGCATTGTGAGCAAAGATGATTTGGCCTACCTTAGAAAAGTTTGTAGTGATTGGCTCAGATGTTGGTTATTTTAGGCTGCAAAAAGACGCAGGCAGGGGTGCGCAGAGAATTCACGTGAATCAGCCCGAAGCTAGCTTGAGTCCCAGAATTTTGCTCGTTGTGCTATTAAAACTGCCTTTTAACTTGTATGCTGCTTCCAACACTTGCCACGCGTTTGCAAAATTATGAGCCAGCCAGTCTCACCAGCGCCTAGCAGAGAACAAACCTTGGAAAAACCGGCACGGAGGGGAAGGCTCTGACTCCAGGGTTAGGCCAAAGGAAAGTCTGGCATCCCCTTGGCCTCAGCCGCTGGCCTCAAAGCAAGCAGGAACGGCCCTTTGTTGGACAGGTGGCAGGCAGCCGCTCACATCTCCTTCCGCCCCCTCCCTCGCTCGGAGACCTCCGTCCTGACCAAGGGAGCAGCGCTGAATCCCGAAACGTTCCCGAGAGCAGGCGTCTTCCCTGCCGCTCTGTTTTGTGAAGTTCCGTGCTCAGCCCGGCAAAGGTTGCCGTTGCGTCGGGTTGAGAGGACGTGGTAGGAGCAGGTGCTTGTCTGGGGCACTCAGGCTTTAGTGGCAAGCTTGGCCAGCTGAGGAAAGCAGGTCCGTTATGCGCAAGGGAAGGCGGCGTGAGACGGGCTGGCCCGAAGGCTGCGAGTTCCATGTTTCTCTCTGGTTGGTTCTGTTTGTCAGAGAAGGTGAAGTGTGGAGATGCGGGGGGAGGAACTGTGCTCAGAAAGTTGGTCCATGTTGGTGCTGATTTTCTTAAAATATCGGTGTGTCGCTTTCTTTAAATGCGAGCGTCTCTTGTTCGGGGCAGCGTGACGCCCCCTCCAAAAAACGTTTGGGTCTTAACAAAGGCAAAACTGGTTTGGGGGTTGGAAACTGGCAATTGATTAGTAGCCATGGATTCAGTTCAACGGGAACTTTTGGTGGTCTCTTGGTTCGACAAGAGACTCGTCGTTTGCTACGGCAAAGGATCTCCCCTTCTTGGTTTTGTTTCGGCATGTCATATCCCTTTGTTCAGAGAGCCTTTGGTTGGCTGAAAGGTCTGCATGGATTTTCTGACTGTGACGCCGGTTCGGGCAATCAGATGGCAGTGCTGCGGAGCTTTCGCAGGGCCGTCCCTGTTGCCTGATCGGAAGTTTTGGCCAGTGCACGAGGTGGTGGCATTCACCGACTACCACAGGCTGGCTCCTTATTCCTGAAATGGACATCTGCAGCGGGAACCAGTTTGCATCCAGGCTTAACGCCAGTTTTGCTGTTTAATTTTTACGTGGTTCTGTTTTCTTTGCATTTATCTCATTTCTGTATGACTCCAAAGCCAACCCTTCACAAAAACACATGCCACACGACAAGGTAATAGAAACATTGTCTGGAATCTGCCATATATGAAATTTTAATACAATCTGAACAGCTAAAATGTTTATAATAATGTACTGGGTCTGGTAGAAATGACTGAGATCCATGACCCACCATATGCCGACAAAGGCCATTCTGAGTGCTAGAAAGGTCTGGATCCTGCAAGCCCGAAAAAGCTCTTCCCAGAGTAGTAGCATCAGCCAGTCCT